TCCAGATATCCAGAGGGTGATTGAGTCTCTATGCCCAGGAGGGGATATTCTTACTAAGACTCCACTAGAGCTGAACCAGATGATTAATACCTTGGCTGCCAGAGATCATTCTTGGGGACAGAGTAGCAGACGCAGACATTCCCGGGACCGTGGTGTGCACGCCATGGAGACCAGATCCGGGCTAGAGCAGCAGGTAGCTGAGCTAGTGCAGACATTGAAGCAACCCAACAGTCTTATTCCGGGCAAAAGTTTGGCTTCATCTCCAGTAGCTCAATGTCAGTGGTGTGAGAGCTCAAATCACCTAGTGGAGGACTGCCAGGCTATGAGGGAGTCTACTACTCCCCAAGAGCAGTTGGACTTCATCGCCAATGCTCGGCGCCTCGGCCCGTACAGCAACACATATAATGAGGGGTGGCGCCAGCATCCCAATTTCTCATGGAGCAGCAACACCACTAAACCACCTGGTTTCCCAGCACCAGCCGGTGGTTTTCAGCAGAGGCAGCCCTTCCAGGCTCGACAGGGGCCAGCCCCACAGCAGCAGCCCTACCAGCCTAGGCAGGGGCAACCATTCCAGCAGCCCCAACGCCAGTTTGCCAAGCCAGCAGCAGCTCCAGCTCCAGATGACCGGATGACAAAGCTGGAAAATATTCTAGCTTCATTCATGACTAGCACTCAGGCAACTATCACGAGGTTGGACCAGAGCGTAGCCTCACTGGAGGCAGGTCAGAGGAACTAAGGTGCCATTTTGCAAGATCTGCAGCACCAGGTGGGTATCTTGGCCCGCCAAAACACTACCAGGGCACCGGGGACTCTGCCTGCCACCACTATTCCGAATCCTCGTGATCCTCACCAGCACCAGCAGCTGGATGCCATTTTTACCAGGAGCGGTAAGACCGTATCTGCTGATCCTGTCCCGGCCAGACAGGAGGAACCACTACCTGCTTCAGCACTTCCAGCCGACGATGCAGAAGTGCGGGTGGAGAAGGAAGCCCCTGCTCCCAAGCCACAACCAGTGGTTAAGGAGCATGTACCTCAGCTTCCCTTCCCCACTCGCCTACACAAAGACAAGTTGGAGACTGAGTTTGCCAATTTTATGGCAATGTTGAAGCAGCTCAACATCAACATACCGTTTGTGGAGGCACTGTCGAAGTTGCCCAAGTACGCGAAGTTCATGAAAGATCTCCTCACCAACAAGAAAAAACTTGGGGATCTCTCGACAGTGTTGCTAAGCGAGGAGTGTTCTGCTATCCTACAGAACAAGCTGCCCGAAAAGTGCAAGGACCCAGGGAGTTTTACTATCCCTCTTACTATTGGCAGCATGCATGTAAGCAAGTCCTTGGTGGACCTAGGCGCTAGCATAAATGTCATGCCATATAAGTTGTATAAAAAGCTAGACCTAGGTGAACTTAGCACTACTAGGATGAGCATTCAGCTAGTTGATCGTTCCATTGTGCATCCTAGGGGGATGATAGAGGATCTGCTTGTTAATGTAGGTGCATTCACATATCCTGTTGATTTTGTTATTCTTGATATACATGAGAATGTGGATGTGCCTTTGATTCTGGGTAGACCATTTCTTGCCACCGCCAAGGCACTTATTGATGTGCATGATGGTAAACTGATCCTGCGTGTTGGGAATGAACAGGCTACTTTCTCTGTGACCGAATTCGATCACCGTGCTATGATTGCTGTCACACCTGTGCATGCCATTTCTGATCAGGTACACGAGCCTGTCGTGTATCCTTCTGCACCTCTCATTTTGCAGGACCCTCCTATCATTCCTTCGCCGCCACTCCATCCAGCCTCGCCTCCGAACAAAAAGCTCAAGGAGGAGTGGCGGCCGAAGCAGCAGGTTGCTAAGCCTGCACGGAAGAAGGGTGGAGACCACTATGAGCTGGTCCCACCTCCTGCACCACGACCACCCTGGCCGTCCGGGTACTCACTCGCCTGCATCTTACCGGATGGCCAGGTCGAGCTGACAGATGATGGTGGTCGCATCCGTCGGGTGCATGGCCACAACCTGAAGCTGTACCTCAAGAGCGACGTGGATCCGCTCTTGGAGGCACCTGTTCCTTCACCTCCCTGAGTATCCACCATGGGCGTCCAGCTAAAAGACGGTAAAGAAGCGCTTGTGGGGAGGCAACCCCACCACGGTTTGACTTTCTTTCTTGTGTTTTGAGTCGGATTGTAAACCGGTTTGGTTTTGGTTTGTTTTCTTTTGTTTTGAATGATGTATTATTGGGCTGAACATTGGACCTAACATATTGTGTTTGAGCTCTTTGGTTTCCTTTAGTTGTGCTTGTCTTGACTGGTCCTCTCTCCAGTCCGCTCACTCCGACTGGTCCGCTTCCAGTCTCCTGCAGTTCGTGCATACCGCTAACATCGTTCCCCTTTCCCTTCCCTCTTCTCCATTGAGGGCAATGTCGATCTTAAGTGTGGGGGGATGTTTATCTTTTGACTGCGTTAGATCTGTTTGTGTGCTTGGAGCCTAGTCCACAGTCCAAATTTTTAAATTTGAGGGCTCCAAGTACGTGTTTCCATGCAATTGCCTGCTCAGTATGCTTTGAATTGACAGTCTTTATAGTAATATGCAACCTAGGGAGGTAGTGTAGCACTATGGAGGATGTTGATGCATTTAAGAAATCTCATTTCTTCTTCATATTGTGTTGGTTGATTGAGTGAATTAGTGATCTTAGGACCCTTGAATTGTGTGGTGTTGTGGACTCTCTACCTGTCATGGACTCTTGTTTCATGTTTTGAGTTTAACAGGTGCTCGAAAATATGCTTTAATATAACGTCTCCCGTGCGAATAGGGCGAAAGTGTGTAAGGGGAGACGGGAATTCGTTCCCAATTTCCACCTACTACCTCCAGCCCCCTTACATGTCTTTCCCCCGCACGAGGCTCGAGACATCCGCTCCTGGCATGGCCGGTAAGAGCCGGGGCTCCCGCAAAACCTCTGCTAGGTGGGAGCCCCCATTTTCTGAAAAGCAGGATTGGGACCCTTGAAAAAAAGAGAAAAGAAAAAAATAACAGAAAACAAGCAAAACAGAAAGAAAAGGGGTTCCAACCATCTTCAAGAAGAAAATAGAGCACCTTGAAAAATGTGAGTCCATGATCCTTTGTTTTTGAGAATCTCTTCATCCACAATTCATTTGTCCTCTGTTCACTATTTGCCATGATGCCGACTCGATACTAGTGCCCTCGCCGAAGAAGCTATGCGATGACTTGTGCGTCGGTTGACCTCGTAAGCTGCTAAATGATCTAGGAAGTCCTCTACCTACGATCTGGGTTGTTTGTTGCTATAGAGGTCTGGAGAGTTGCATTGGTTTGAGTTAGGTTTGCTTGGGGACAAGCAAACGGTTAAGTGTGGGGGAATTTGATAACGATGTAATTGCATGTATTTGCACCCCTAGTTCTTATCCGTTTGAGGGGCATAGTCGTGTATTTTTGGCCTATTTTATGTCGGGTTGTGCTATTTTGTCATATTTCAGGTCCCAGGCGTCAAAAGAAAGGCTAAGCACGAGTTTCGGGGCATTCGGAAGTCATTCGGTGGAGCTGGAGCCAAAACACGGGCACACCTAAAGCAGAACACGACCGTGTTCCTAGGCCGTGCTTTTACTGCCGAGAGCTGATTTGAGTTTGGCAAACACGAGCCAAAACACGGACAGGGCTGAGAAATTACACGGCTGTGTCCACCAAAGCACGGCCGTGTCCACCCAAAAGCACGGCCGTGTTTCTCCCAACAGGCTGGCCGTGTAATTAACCCTAGCCAAAGCACGAGCGGGCTGGAGCAAAGCACGGCCGTGCCCTCGACCGTGCTTTGCCCAGTGATGCCCTTTTAAGAAGATTTCAGCCAAAAGAGAGGGGGATTCAAGTTTTAGAGAGACAGAGCGATTCCTAGAGAGAGAAAGCGACGAACAAGAGTCTCCAAGTGCCCTAGCTTGATCTTCATCACCATTGGAGGCCAGTTTGAGCTTGGAGAAGTGCCGATCAACATCCAGGAGGAGGAATCCATCCTTCACAGTATGAATTCCGCGTCTGATTATGCTTTTGCTTCTTTCTCCATGGAGTAGTTCTCCCATTCATCTGGGTATGGAGAACCCTAGATTTGTATGTTAGGTTTGATTGTATGAACCCAAGTACTGATTCTATGATTTGATTATATTCAATTGAGGTTTGATTGATTGAATGGCATGAATCCTGATCAAATTCCTGTTGTTTCTGCTTTAACCTAGAATGAGAATATCTGCCTAGGTTGATAGAGCATCCTTGATTGAAGGTAGGGAGTTGGTGACTTTAGTCGAGGAGCCAACTCACTATTCTGTACCGGATTCACTTCGGTAGTGGAGGTTTTGTTCATAGGGCCTCAATCTGTTTACTCCGGTGGAGGTTAGTCGCCCGCTAGAGACTCAGATTGAGAGGGTCTGAAGACCTTTAGTCGAGACATCAGGCTGTTTGAGAACCTTCCGCAGTATAACTATCATAGAAACTGAACTTGGTAATTGCAATCCGGCTTAACTGCAGTCTAGGGGGAACCATATCCGGGTGACCTCTCTTAACCTGAATACAACAGTTTACTTGCTTTGTTTGTTTGTTAGTTTAGACTGGCATTAAAGTTTCATTTCTAGATAACAAGAATTCACTGAGTAGTCATCAAATCTAGGACCCGGGTTGACATTTAAACCCAAACCCGCTATACTACGCTTTAGGAAGTGGTTTCACTTGGCCAATTCCTGCAGTGACAGTAGAAGTGAGTCACCGACTGTTGCCACCGGTAAAACACCTTTTGAGGTCCTTTATGGCAAGTCAGCTTCTTACTCTCACTTGCGCGTCTTTGGGTGTCTCGTCTATTGCAAGGACACGCATGCTGGCTTGGACAAGTTTCAAGACCGGGGGAGGGTTTGCGTGTTTTTAGGCTATGCTGCTACCCAAAAGGGCTATCGGGCTTATGATCTCACAACTCGAAAAATGATCACTAGCCGCGATGTCGTCTTCCATGAGACGATTTTCCCTTTTAGTCCCACTGTTTCTAATGATTTTCACTGGGTCTCTCCGCATGTGTTTTCCCGGCCCACTTTTGATGATGCAGACGAGCTAGTTGCCTCCACTTCTGGGCCGCTTCCTGCCATGCCAGCCCACGCATCCCCATCTGCTCGGCACGACCCACCTGAGACCGCTCCCCTTGAACCCTCTCCTTCTTCGGCCCGCTCGGCAGCACAGGCTTCCCTGGCCTCCTCGGCCGCTCAGCCTTCCTCGGCAGCCCAGACTTCCCCGGCCCACTCGGCAGCCCAGCCTTCCCCGGCCCACTCGGATGCCCAGCCCTCTCCGGGCCCCTTGTCCCCTTCGGCCGAGCCCCTTCGCCCATAGGCCGAGCCCGTTCTTCGCCGCAGCGATAGACAGCATGTCAAACCCCGTTACCTTGACCTTTATTACACTGGCGCTGATGCCAATTCTGTCTAGTATCCTCTTGCTTCTCACATTACCTACGATCGGGTCACTCCTTCTTATCGTGCCTTCGTTGCAGCTGTTGCTCTCTACTCCGAACCTCGCACTTTTAGGCAGGCTGTTCTTGATGAAAGGTGGCGCCAAGCTATGCGAGCAGAAATTACCGCTCTTGAGTCTTGAGAAAAATGGCACATGGAGTTATGTCTTCCTTCCTCCAGGCAAACGTGCCATCGATTGTAAGTGGGTCTACAAGATCAAGTTCTATCCAAACGATACAATTGAGCGCTTTAAGGCTCGTCTTGTTGCCAAAGGCTACACACAGGTCGAGGGCGTCGATTTTCACGACACTTTTGCCCCTGTTGCCAAGTTAGTCACTGTTCGTTGCTTACTTGCTGTCGCCATCAGCAAAGGGTGGTTTATTCACCAGTTAGACGTTAACAATGCATTCCTCCACGGCGATCTTGATGAGGAGGTTTACATGCGCATTCCACCGGTTTTCGCTGCTCCGGGGGAGACTCGCGTCTGTCGTCTCCACAAGTCACTATATGGCCTTCGTCAGGCCTCTCGCAATTGGTATCACAAGTTCACCGCTCCTCTCTGTGACCTCCATTTTCGGCCTTCCCCTGCCGACCACTCTCTCTTCATCTATCGCCAGGGAATCACCTTTGTTGTGGCTCTTATTTATGTTGATGATGTCCTACTCGCTGGTAATGATCTTTCCTTCATCACGCAGGTCAAAACTTTGCTCCATGACCGGTTCAGTATGAAAGACCTCGGCAGTCTACGTTACTTCTTGGGCATTGAAGCTGCCCGCTCACCTGCCGGACTCATTTTAAACCAGCGCAAGTATGTTCTCGATATATTATCTGACGCTGGCGTCACCGGTTGTCGTCCGAGTGCTTTTCCGGTCGAGCAAAATCATCACCTTACCCGCATGGATGATAATGCTCTCCTTGATGACCCCTCCGCATATCGATGGCTCGTTGGCCGCCTCTTGTACTTAACTGTTACACATCCTGACATTTCTTATGGTGTCAATATTCTCAGTCAGGCAGTCAATGCTCCTACTCAAGCTCATATGGATGCTGCACATCGGATTCTGCGCTATCTCAAAGTTTCACCAGGCCATGGACTCTTTTTCCCTGCTACTGGCGATCTACGCCTCCAGGCCTACTGTGATGCTGATTGGGGTGGCTGTGAGTCCACGCGCCGATCGACCACTGGATATTTCGTCAGTCTGGGTGGTGCCCCCATTTCTTGGCGCACCAAGAAACAACAAGTCGTTGCTCGCTCGTCTACTGAGGCTAAATATCGGGCCATGGCCAGTACGGTCAGTGAACTTGTCTGGCTCCGTTGGCTTCTTTCTGAGCTCGGTGCTCCCCAGTTTGGTCCGACTCCACTGCATTGTGACAATCAGGCCGCCTCACATATTGCTGCCAACCCCGTTTTCCACGAGCGCACCAAGCATGTGGAGATGGATTGCTATTTCGTTCGGGAACGCGTTCAGTCGCAAGATATTGCTCCCGTCAAAGTTTCCTCTCATCTACAGCTTGCTGACATGTTCACAAAGGGTCTTGGCGCCGATCGTTTTCGCTTTCTTCTCTCCAAGATGGGCGTTCGTGACCTTCACGCTCCATCTTGCGGGGGAATATCTCGGCCCACTCGGCCCACTGTTTTGGCCTGTTCCTCAAGTTCTCCCGAGCCCAGACACACGCCCGTAGCTAGCGGCTGCACCTTGTCTTCCCATGTAACCCTAGATGATAGTCGAACAGGGTATATAGGTTTGTGTACGGCCATTGGCCATGTAACTCACTGATAATAAAAGAACACAAACCGGAAAGGCTTTCCTCTACCGTGGACTAGTCCCATACCTACGGGGATATCTCGTAAATCGCTCTTGTCCATTTCGTTTCCACACTAAGTTCCTTATTTCTCACAGGCAGTTTATTTTCCTCAAGCACTGCTTCTATTTGTTCCTGAAGTAAATTTCTGACTGCAGCCCATCTCTCTTCTTTATTGCAGGGCTCTGCGAACAATAAGTTTCCGAGAAGAGACAGAGAAGCTCAATATCTGGGTAGCCTACTTCAATTTGGAAAACCAGTATGGAATTCCCCCAGAGGTAGTATGTGACGCAGTTTTCACACTTTTTTTTGTTTCTCTGCTGTTTGCAAGATCAATCGTCGGGAAACTTAAAAGTTGAAAATAACAACCACAGGAGGTTGTGAAGAAATTGTTCCACCGTGCCCTGCAAGTTTGTGATTCCAAGAAGGTCCACCTGGCGCTATTGGGAATGTATGAAAGGACTGAACAGAATGAGCTGGCTGACGAGCTTCTTGACAAAATGCTCAAGCAATCATGCAAGGTTCATATCCAGGAAATCCTTTTCATTAAGAAAAGGTTCAGTCAGTAGTACGTAATATGTTTGAAGGAGTTTTGAGGGAGTACCCGAAGAGAACTGACTTGTAAGATTCTTCTTTATGTCTTTCTTCTAATCAAAATAATATTTTTGTGGGTCTCCTTTTGGTACTATGTAACATTTTCCTTTCCATTTGCAGGAAATCAAACTTGGAGATTCAGATGTTATCCGCTCATTGTTCGAGAGAGCAATTACTTTAAGCCTCGCTCGCGCCTAAAAAGATGTCGGTAAGTCATCATCTCTACCAATTGGCATGACAAATCACTCTTTTGTGGCTTTACCGTCACCACATTACCTCAATCTGCAGTTCTTGTTCAAGAAATATCTAGAGTATGAGAAGTCTATGGGCGACGAAGAGAAAATTGAGTCTGTGAAGCAGAAAGCACTGGACTATGCGCGATCTGAACTGGTATAGTAACCACTTCGGTGGATCTACAGACTCACTGGTTCCATCTGCATCAGCAGTACAGGTGTGTTTGAAGTCGAAAATTCTGCTCTTTGCAGTATCCCAGACATTTTATTATGATCTGTGCTAGGCGATTTGAGTATGGAGAATTGTCCAGTGGGATTTTTGCCCACATTTCACTCATCTTGTATCGTGTAGAATTTGTATCCTTTACGTACCGGGATCGAGGCCACTGTAAACTAAATTTATTACTTTTCGCCTTCATCTTATTGATATGTATACATTTTCTGTCAAGCTCATGCTAAAACTTATCATCACTCAAGGGTCCAAACCATTGTTCTGTCATTAATAATAAATCAAGGTTACACAATCTTGATCGAAAGAATTTGTTGTAATTGTAAGGATTAATTTCTTTTAATGTTGGCAGTTAACAATCAGCTAATTATACAAAGAAGAGCTGGATGGTATTATAACTAGGGGTGGAAATTGGGGTGGGTGTGGTTATCCGCCCCACATTTTGCGGGTAACCACACCCACAGATATAAATTTATGCTACCCGCACCCCGCCTCACAGTGGGTAGTGGTTAACCACTATCCACTGCGGGTTGGATGTGGATACTCACAAAAATTTTCCTTCCTTCACCCTTTGGATTTCTATATGATAAAACTATCGGTCGAGTGACGACGAAAAAATAAAAATGAGTTAAAACTAAGTAAAGAAGCCTAAGACATGGAACGAGCGAGGATCCGATATTCGAAACCTCCTAAGTAGTCATCCTCCCTCTCCTCGGTTCACTTCACTCACTTACATGTCAATTCACTTTCTTTAGGAAATGCATATTGATAACAAGCATGGGTTGGAGAGTATCTAATCTAAGTATACATAGCATCTTTATCAGCTGCATGACTCATTTGCTTTTTTATTCGAATTTCTTAGTTATAAATGAAATTCTCTCCCAAGTTGCGGAATTAGCGTCTTCTTACACAAAAACAAAAACCTACATAAAAGATAATTAATAAAGTGCTAAATAAACTATAAACCACATTTATTGGCTTTGTTTTGTTATAAAATAAACATATACCACACGAACAATACTTATTTAATAAAAGTATCTCATACGAACACGGTGTATTGACTTGTTTTTGTTTTATAAATAAGTATATATTTGATTTTGGAGTCTACTTAATTTGTAGCATTCTATTTTTCACATACTTTAATATTACAAAGTATTATTAATAAATTAATATACTTAGTGTGGTTATTGTGGATTTTGTGGGTTAACCGTTGTGGATAGTGGTTAACCACTAACCACAAAAATCAATATTTTGCTACCCACACTCAACCCACTATCCACAAATTGTGGGTATGGTTACCCACAATATATGCGGTTTGGTGCGGTTTGCGGATTACCCGCAATCCGCAGACTAAACTTCCACCTCTAATTATAACAATAATAATTATGATTTTGTTCCCACCACATTCGAATTCAGAGATTGACTTTGAGACGATTTGTTGATGGAAAGAGATTCAGTGGTGCGTGAGCCAAGATTCTGATTCCACTGAAGATAGAATAGAATATAGAGTGGAAAAGTTGTTTTTCGTCTTCATCCCACAAATTGTCAACTTGTATGGTGTTTTCACGTGACGTCAACACGGAAGCACTCATAATAAAAAGTTCAATTTTCCCAGTGCCATGGATTCTTTTATTATGGATTTGATTGTACAAGGACACACTCTTTCAGTTGGTGAGAGGCTGAGAGCAGCGTGTAATAGGAGGTGGTTCGTGTTTAGTCATTTTAATTACTTGATTCGTATACTTTTAGTTTTAAAATAGTAAAATATTAAATTACAAAATGATCCAAAAAATTAGACAATTTGTTTATAATCCGCTCAGATCGAGGATGCTCTAATTTTAAGTAAAAATGCAACCCAACACTAAAAGAATTATATAACTATTTAAAATTCAAGCAAATAAATCAAATCTGAAAACATCAAAATGCCAAGAAGTTGTTGTTTGGATCTTGATGAAGTGTAATTTGCTTCAACATATATCTAATATTTTTCATAAACATCTATTGAAATAAGCTAAAGATGTTATTCATTATAAGCTAATGCATCCATAATTTAT